CTGGAGCCAGATATTCAGATGCCCTGTGCCTATGCTGACCACACTGGTAGCATTTAATAGTCCTGGACAGCAGTTCAGGTGGTTTAGCTGGGATTTGGCGACCTCCGGGGTCTTCTCGGTTTCTCTATTGTCACCTTCCTATGGTGGTGGATCTCCAGATCCATGGCCACTGCTGTGCTGTACCATGCTTGTATGTGCTCTGGGACTCCCTAGATGCCACAAGCTTGTTGGAGGTCTGGCTCAAGGGCCTCTTTGAAGTGGTGAACAAGGAAGCGCTCTACCCAAACACTCAGTTTCCCAGCCAATCTTTGAAACTTCCACACTATCACCTTGGGAGGTTGGCCCACTTGTTTCAATGGCTTTATTTTGGCCTCGCCCTCTACTTGATGGGCCATGTCTTCGAAGTGGCCTTGGAACAGCTGGATGAATTTGTCCCCATCGTTTAGCTTGGGGGCTTACTCGTCATGGAGCTCAGCTGTCCACTCTGCCGCTTTTCCCTCATTCATGCCATCCTCAATCACCAAAATCAAATCACGATTGGTTGGGTATTGATCCCCATAATGATCAATGTGCATCCAGACTCAATTAAGGAAGTAAGCTAGCTGGCTAAGGGTTCCATTAAAGGGCACTCTAAATTGCGGAGGGGGGAGAGCTGGCAGGGCTGGTTGTGGAGTCGCCATGGGCAGTTGGGCTGCCACTGGCGGCAGGGCCACCGTCGGTGGCTGGAGTTGTACTGGCTGCTGAACCTGTACCAACTGTGGGGCCTTGGCCAGTAGCAGGAATTGCACTGGTTGCTGATTGGTACCGGCGGCGGGACCATGTCTGTTGGTTGGAACTGCATTGGTTGCTGGGCCGGCATGGGCTGCAAAATTGGAGCAGGCATCAATTGGTATTGCACCCATCCCTGACTGGGGTAGAATGCCCACCCTGGTGGGATTTGGTCAGCTGGGGGCAGTCTGAGGATTTGCTGCTGTGGTGGAGTACTAGGTCCCAACAGCCCCAGTGGGGTACTTGTAGAACTGGACTAGGATGACCCAGTGGGCTTTTCTGCTGCCCCATTCCAATTCCAGCACATGCTGTCCCCTCAGTGGATCAGGCACGATGTGTGAGACTGTGGTATGATCCGCTTAATGGCATATAGAAGGAGGCAGACACTGTGCTCAGTGATGCTGTGACTTTGAGGTTAGGAAAATTGAATGTGGCTTGAGACAGAGTTCCCTGGGGTTATCTAGTCCCAGGGAGCTGAGCTGAGTTGGCTGAACTGCTCTGGGAAGCCCGCTAGTAACTGGCTGCATGATGGTGGCGGGAATCCCTACTCCTGATAGCGCCTGGGATCTGCTGGTCCTGATGCCCACCATTCACAGGCTAGGGTCTGCTCAGTCCCATCCGCTGGTTGGGTAGCATTGTTCCGGCCATTGTCTCTTGAGGTAGCATGGCTCCCGCAGCTTCGTCCCATAAGTAAGATCTGGCTGGGCAGCTTGCTCAGGGACCGGCTCTTTAGGACAGGTACCCAGCTGATGTTCCGCTTCTGCCGCCATTTCTGCTTCCACTATGGCTTGGGAAGGGCAGTAGATGATCTCAACCTAGCCCTCCAAGCTAGCTCCTGAGGCTCCCTCCATGGATGATTTGTCTTCCTTCATATTCTCTGAGTCTTCACGCTGCCCAGTATTAGGTCAACATTCAGGGCTCAGCACCCTGTGGTTCGGGGAGCTGGTTGAAGTTTAAAGAGGATTTGGGTTAATGTCAGGGTTCCAAATAACACCACCAATGAAATAAGACTCTAAGGCTTGAAGTTCCTCCAAGTTCCATTTTATTAGAGATCTCATATTGGCATATCTGGGAAAACCCGAATCTGAAAGCTTCCAGTCTTTCCTCACCCAAAAGAAAGTCCAAGCTCCTACTCAGCACCCACATGTCTGTCACATGGTCCAATCAAAGCATCGTCCCAACTGGAGATGTCTCTCAGTCATACCTCTCCAGGTGTAGGGCACAATGTCCTTGACTCTCAGAGAAAGGAATGTTGTTATGACTATATATCTGCCCAGTTCCATAGAATCCCCCCTCCCAGTTTCCTACACACCAAATGTGGCAGGCCTGAAAATCCAATGCCCAAGATGACTTCTAGGCCTGACAGTGTGCCCTTTTATAGCTCAATAAACAAAACAAAAAACCATAAGCAAGATTTTTTTTAAAAGTAGTTTAAGATCTGTATTTATACTAAGTAGTGTCCTTCAGAAGCATCACTATCCAAGTTGGTTAATTATGTGAGAAAAAATACCCCTTAGGAATGCCATATTTGGAAATAAGCTAGATCATTCATTGAAATCTTCTCTCTTCAAATTTACAGTTCACCTGAAGAAATTTAGGGACTTTCCCAATCTTTTGCACCACTTAATTTATTATACGAAATCCATTTTACATCATAATTCTATTTCCAATTTCAACTCTTATTATTCTCTTCTCATATTTTCCATCTTAAAGTTATTTTATTCTTGTTATATAAACAATATTAATTGCCCCTTCAAAGTTATACCAAATTATCATTTCATGATTCCTCTTTTCATCTATTTTACCCTAATGAAACCACCTAGTTATTTGTTTATTTTTAGTTCCCTTTTTTCTATTTCTGGTCTGAGTGCTCCATCTAAATTTCCAGCTTATCCTTGCTTTCCAAAGTTTCACACTCATTTTTAACATCTCAAATAGTATATTATACATCCATGATACCAATTTGACAATTTAACATTTTTTTTCATCATATTTCTGTTTCCATTTCCAACCCAATTTATTCTCTTTCCATTTTTTCATCTTAAACTTATTTTCCTCTTAGTATCTAAACAATATCACCAATTCCCCTTTAAGTTGAAACCAGATTATCCTTTGTCTGGTTGGATTTCACACGATGCCCCTTCGGAACTTGCTAATTTCCAACTGGTCTCGCCACAACACTTCTGGTTTCTCCCTAATGCAATGACAATTGAGTGTATCACTAAGCAACGGCAATCCTAGCAGTTCCATTTAACCAAATTTGAGTTAACAAAATCTCATTGATTTTTAGGCAAGGACATCCTCCCAATCTAAGCCATTCACATTTTGATTCCTCTCACCCCCAACCCTCAGTAAGATAAGGGTCTGCTTCCTTTGCCTACTCTTGAACTCCCCCACAGTCTATGTTTCCCCTGTCTCTGACCCACTGCTACCACCTACCCATGCCCCTACCATACCCTCACAAAACATGCCACTACTGTACTGGCCAGAACTTTCCTTTGTGCTATCTTCTTTTGTTCTAGAGTAGCTGGGGATTCTCTCATGCCCCATCACATGCCAGCCAGAGCTTTTTTTCACACACTGTCCATGGCCACATTTTGTGTCTCACCCAGGATCATAAATTTGAGTTGCCTAAATCTTGTTCACTGCAAGGGTGCTGTAGTGTCTGGAATTTTGAGACCCAATCATACATCTCTTCGTTCATGGCTATCATAACTTTGAATGGTCTGTACATTTAGTCTTCACTTACCGATCGATCACTCTTTCAATCACTGTTCAAAGTTGTGACAGTGTTGAACTAGTTGTACCTATTGCTAATCCTTAAAATGCTAACCTTTGCAGTATCCTCATGGTCATGCAATTGTAATTCAAGTGCTTTGCAATCTGCTCACACTTAACAATGGTTGCAACAAACTATAGTCAGGTGATTATCATTTGCAACCTTTCCCTACCAGCTTCCCACAAGCAAAGTCAATGGGAAAACTTTCAGGAGAGGCTTTGAAGTCACTCTGGTAAGTCTTTGCCACCTTCCTACACACCACACTGAGCCCTCCTTCCATTCTTCCTGAATTCACACAAACCCATATCCTCCTTCCCTCAGCCTCCCCGAACTTGCACATACAATAGCAATAGCAATAGTTAGGCTTATATACTGCTTCATAGGGCTTTCAGCCCTCTCTAAGCGGTTTACAGAGTCAGCATATTGCCCCCAACAACAATCTGGGTCCTCATTTTACCCACCTCGGAAGGATGGAAGGCTGAGTCAACCTTGAGCCTGGTGGGATTTGAACAGCCAAACTGCTGAACTGCAGTGCTGCATTTAACCACTGCGCCATTGTTCCATGGGCCTCCCTGCCCTCCCTACCATGATACCCTGCTCTTAGCCTCTTTGCACTCGCATTCACTCATGTTGCACTCTACTTCCTTTAGTCTCCTTGTACTTGCATCAACCAGTATCTTCCTTCACTTGGCATCTCTGCACTTGCACTGCACATACTCTCCTCAACTCTCCCCAGGCATGCGTTGGGCCTCCCCCAGCCCGCACTTAAGCACCCAAGCACCCCTGGAACCTATTTTTTCTACTTAACAGTCCTCACTCTTGGGATTATGACAGCAACCTTGATTGCCTGGATCATGACTTGAGGACTACCTGTTATGTACATCTTATTATAAAAATATATAATAGATAAATTAGTGCATTGCTGAGCACAGTCTCATTAAAGTCTTCTGTTCATCAGATAGTATTGTTGTTATTCCAAGACAGTGTTGTTCCTCTTAACTGATCCCTAGATAATATCATTTAGAGCAGGGGTCCCCAACCCCCAATCCTTGGACTAGTACTGGTCTGTGATATGCCAGAAATTTCTGTGCAAACAAGCGAAACCCCATTCATGGGATGCAGGCAGCACATGAAACCACGCCACCTCCAGTCCACAAAAAAACCTCTGTCCACAGAACCGGTCCCTGGTGCCCAAAAGGTTGGGGATTGCTGATTTAGAGATCTGCCTTACTTAATAAGGTTACTTCTCATGCTACTTTGAAACCAGGGAAAAATACATTGATGTGAAATTTTTGATAAGCCTGAAATGATTACTTTGCTGTACATTACTCACGATAGTGAAGAAATTTAAATGACAACACTTTACAGTTATGAAAATGTATGATAGAGTGTAATTAGGAGTTATGCAAGCTTAAACATTTAAAACTCTTCATTTTGTTTTTCTGCCTTATAGTCATGAGATACAGACTACTTGCTGGGATCATCCCAAAATGACAGAGCTCTACCAGTCTTTAGGTAAGATTTTTTTAATTAAATCCTTGAAATATTAGAAATATATTTATTGATAATAAAGGCTCAATTTTGAATAAAATGGCTAATTTTAGATTTTTAGCAGATTTTTTTTTTATTTTTTCCCTTCTACAACACCTTACAGTCATTACATCAACATTGTTATAGATTTTTTAAATGAAATGGGTGGCTAGCATCATATTTTACACTTTGATGTCACACATTGTGTCTACCATTTTCTTGTTTTGCCTTAGGCTTTCTTTCTCTTGCCACATAGTGGGCCATAGACTTGGTTCTGCTTTTGGATTCATTTAGCATTGCTGAAGGATGCATTATAATTTTTCATTAGTTTTGAATTAGTCTTTCCTGCCTAGTCATCCTCTGGATTATGAACTTTAATTCCCAGAATTGTGTAGTCCGCATAGCCATTGCTGAGATTCTGGGATTCAGAGTCCATGTATCAGCAAGACATTATGTTAAGGAAATGTGACTTTACATCAATAGTCTCCACTCAAAAAAAAATGTTTGTTTACATCAAAGGCCAGTAGGGAGTGGCAGAAATATGTTGTGGTGGTGTGAGGGCAAAAAAAAAAAAAAAGAGATAGGAGAAATAGCTGTTGTGAAGGCCACATGAAGGGCCAGCAGCTGCCTTCCTCAGGTGCACCTTGTCAGCAATAGGAGGAAGAAGACCATGAAGGTCAGCTGATGGCAGTGGGAGTGGCTGCAGGGCTGGGGGTAATGGCGGAGTGCATAGTGGCCAAATGGGCAGACAGGGCAGTGAAATAGAGTGGGAGGAGTTGAAATGTCATAAATGTGGGTGGTTTGCCAAATGTCCAAATTTTGATCATGTGATTATGAGGATACTGAAGCATCCTTAACTTCAAGGACCAATTATACATACCATTTGTTCAATCTCATAATGATTTTGAATAATTCCTCAGCAATGAGACTACCTGTAATCAGTACAATTATAGTTCTCCCATCAAAAAAAGCTTGTTTTGAAAATGTGAGGATTCCAGGAAGGCAAAGATTTATTTGAGGAAAAATGGGAATATAGGACATAAGACTTGCTCAGAATAAACTAGAGGTAGTTCTAGTTTATTCTTCCTTTTCAAAGAAGATTCCTGTGCTCTGTGTTGGCATTAATTGCAATGCCACATCTTAAACCTTTTAAAAGTCTTCTGCCTGTCAGTTTATTGTCAAGAGTCACAATGAGAAGAAATTGAGAGCCTTCTTATAAGAGAGGAATTTTGATTTTTCTAGAAGCTAGTTCTTGGGTTTTAAGATATTGGGCAGGTTTTTCTTTGAGGAATTAGGTGTCTGCATTATAAATCCTTAATATCTATTGTTTCTCACTGTGGGTGCACAGTAGGTAATTACAATACAAGGAATGATGATTGACATTTTGCAGTCACAAAACAGCCATATCTATTTTTTTTGCAAATGATCATCTTTTTTCTTTTGTTTTTTAATGGCCAGTGGAAGGCATCTTGCTCACAATTCATTGAAATGAAATAAAAGTAAAACAAACATTTTAACTATATGAATAAGTCATTTACTCTTTTGCAAAATCTACCCTAATTTCAGCTGTTATATTTTGCTTGGCTAAAATATATAAGAATAATAATGTTAAAATGTATATTTTAACAGCTGGAAGTCCTAGCAGGCTATGGTGCCATATAAGTGTAATAAACAAATAAAACACTCAAAAATGTTTATTAAGAGTATGTGGTTTTTATTTTGTATAAAATGGTGATATTAAAACACTGGATGTTTATTATCCCTATAATTACCTGCTCCACCACACACACAAATGAGTGACATTTCCTAAGTGGCAGTCTTTCATGCATCTTCATTATGACACTATGACAAAAATTTACACTGGTCAGTCAGATAAGGACATTTATGTCTTCCCTTATTTCCAAAGACTGATCAAAATCACTGATTTATGCTGACAGTAGTAGCCATTGTGGATAACAATATAAATTAGAAACATGGAGAGTTGGGAAAGACCAGAATTACTAAGATGAGCCAACATTATCAGTTAAGATGTTAGATTAGAACTGGAGAAACGCAAGTTAAAGCCCACTTGCAGCCATGGAAACTCAATGTATGAAAGTGTGACTAAGTGTTGCTCAAACATTTTTGAAAACATTGCATTCCTATTTATGTATTTATTTAGTGCAAATTATTGTATTGACAAATCTCAAGATAAGGACAATGTAGCACCCAATTACTTCAGTTAATATAATTAAGACATTCCCTTACATTTCATGATGCAGGTCAAACACTCCAGAAGCCACAGAAAGCCATTAAGTATCCTTAGTAAAGAAGCAAATAGTATGCCCTGGTATTTTTAATGAATCCTTGTTATCTAAGTAACAATTGGTCTCAGGTGTAGCATTGCAGTAAAATCCTCTTTGAATTCAATTAGGCTTCTATACCAAGTTCATGTCCTACAAAGCAATCACAAAATGCATCCCAAAACACTCAGCAGTCATTAGGATCTATGAAGATAAAAGGACAGGTTAAATAACAACTTTATTTATTGCACTATCCTATACTGACATACTATGGATTATTTTAATGATTGAAAAATTAGCTATAGTTACTGATTAGTCTTTGTTAAGTTGTTACCAAGCTATCTTGTGTTTCCTGTTGCATTTTTTAGCTTTGTTTTTAATTGAAAGTCACCAGTAAGAACATTTCTGTTACTTGGATTTGATTTTTGATATTGTTAAGTTAGTTGATCAAATTCTTGGTTATTTGTATGATCTCTGAATCCAGAAATCAAGCAATAAGAAATGTATTCTATTGTAACTTCCAAGTAAAACCAAGTGCAAGCCATGACTCAGCAGTAAAGAATGTAATTGCTATGAGTTTTTTGAATAGGTATTACAGTGTAAGAGGACAGGCAGCTTATGAAACACCTCTCTTTCCCAGGCTTCTAATTTGGATAAAGGTGCTTGAAATACATTAGTTCTGACATAAGCAAAAGCTCTTTCAGCTGTAATATAAATTTCTTAAATAGCCATTTACAAAAGAAATAAAAAATGTTATTAGCCTGGAAAGAAATTTAGTATTTCTGATACAGCAAAACCTCAGTTTAGTTTACCCTATCTCTAATTGTTATTAGAGAAAATTTCCATCTCCTCAAAGCAGGTGACAAGTCTGTTGCATAGATAGTTACTATTTTTAAAACGTTAATTTTACCTTATTTATACTATAACCACTTACCTCAATAATGTTGCAAATATAATTCCAATAACTATATCAGTCAAGGAAGATTTTCATTATGCAAATTTATAATGTAGATTAAAAGTATTGTATTTTCCTCATCTGAATAAAGTTATAATTATAGAAATGACATAAAGCAACATGAATTATACAATTCTGTATTTAACAGGCTTCCATGGAAAATGGATACCTACCTTTCCCTAATAATCTATTGAGATTTTTCTGTATCATCTACAGCTATAACAGAAAAAGGAGTAAAAGCAAGCATTGAGTTGTACAAGTAGACTTGTTAAAGAAGCAGCCTTTTTCTAGATATTTTGCTTAATCCCAGTAGTCCTGGGGAGGGGTGTATGACATTTTTGGCAGATACAGTAGCATGCAAAATATGGAGATTGAAGAAAGGTCTCTTTTTTGTGGTGTGACAACAAGAAGGAAAACATTGGAGTTTACTATATGGCTTATGGTTGAGTAAGAGTTATTATCTCCCTTTTTTATTTTAAAGTGCATTTGTATTTTGTGAGCTATGTTTATTTCTCTGTAGAATTTGTAGACATGTCTCTATTATGAGCTACCTTGTTATATAAGGAGTCAACTGGTGACTGAAGAGAATGTTGATATGAGGTAATCTGAATCCTAGGCAAAGGGAGAAGTTGTATGCAAAATGTTACACATCTGTAATAGTCTGTATGAGAATATTTTGGTAGATAGGAAGAGCATCTGCAGACCAGGCAGTGGTCATGTAAGAAGCAATTTAGCTCACAGAACAAAAGGGAATATGTTAGACATTTCAGAAGGAACCTGGACTATAAAGGCAAGTGGGGAAGAGATGGGCTTTCAAGACTTGGAAGATTCTGTTACTGTAACCTTACAATGTAAGTAGTCATAGTTGGACTTTCCTAGCTTCCTTCACTTTGAAGGTCTAATTATATGTTTCAGTGAAATCATATATGAACAAAACACATCTTTCTGCATATCTAAAAGATTGCCTATTAGTTTGTGCAATTGTTCATGCATTCAGAGTAAGAAAATTGTGTCATCCCCCCAATCAGTACTTTGTAACAATTTAGCAGAATGAACAAATAATTTCAAGTAGATAAAGAATTTATTGTTGCTTTTAGAATATGTTTCTCCTCTTCCAGTATTTGTTAGTATAGAAAGATTTTCCATAACATTCATTTCTGAAATTGAGAAGGACATTCTAAAATTGTTGTTTCTTTCCTGTAAGCATTTGTTGGCTGATTTAAAGTATGTTGAAACTCTTGTCATCCTGAAAAGACCAGAAAAAAGTCAAAAGGAACGTAAAGCCTGTTAAAAAAACAGACTAAAAGCTTTTAACAGTTTATATATTTAGCAAGTATAAATTACCCAATTTATTGTTCTTTAATATAATATCTTGATGGGGTTTTGGTAGGCCAAAAATGCTGTATTCAGTGTGTAAGGTGCACCCAGATTTTCACCCTCTTTTTTGATACCCTGAAAAATATGGTAAGTTTTTTTTCTCCCAGTTTTAAAAAATGTTTAAAAATGGAAGCCAAAATAACATTGTATAAAGTATGTTATTTTCTGTTGGGTTTATTTTGTTTTTTTGCATTACACCTGAATGAAGAAATTGAATGTCATGTTGACCATGGAGACAACTATTGTTATCTTCCTGTATATGGTTATGCTTCCTGCATAAGCATAAAGGAATGATATCATGTGTGTTGTAGCTCTTTTAAAAAAATGATGGTGACCTGTAGAAATCTTTCAGACAAGGCACAGTATTTATT